TGGTGTTAATTTTGATCTAACGTAATCTGTGAATTCGTGTTTAAATTTTTTAAAGTGTTATAAATTTGTCTTTCAAAACGTTCTGTTGGATTTTTGTTTAATTTTGAATAACTTTTGCCGTTTAAAAGTTCATTAATTTTTTGATCATAGATATTATAATCCATAATGACGGTCGAATATTAATCTATTAATTAATATTAATCGAATCTTAAAAGAGGCGAATTTCCGCAAAACTAATACCGGTTAAATTTTTTGCTGAAGTTCGATAAGGTTTAAAAAAAATGATTTTTAGGGTCAACGGGTTTTGTTCAACGTTAAAATACGCAGCACTGAGAACTGCGAAAAAGTCGATTTTTCTCGAGACAACCCTAAAGACCTTAAACCAAGGCAACGAATGAAGCCATATATTTTTCATGTCAGTCATCATCAGAGACATTAAACGAACGTGTATAATAATCTTTGGGAATGTTGTGTATAATAATTCTTGTTGCCGAGTTTGAAGAATTTCAGTTATTCGAGCTGGTGGCCAAAGCGGATTGGTGCACTATCGACCGAAAGACATTTGCTGGAGCCTCGGGCTTTAATAGGGCCCCAAAGGTTCGGTTTTATGACTAGGATCAGATTACGTCTGTTCGAGACACATAAAAACTGCTCATAACTTTATTGAATTTTTCTGCCATTTTTCAGCAGTTTCTAATGACCATCAAGTTTTATATCTGCCGGCTACTTTATGCTCTGGGGAACAGTCCAATTTTCGTACGTTTCCGCACTCATCCGGTTGCAAAAGAGCCATTCCCGACTTGACTGCTTAGTGATACAAAGTAGCAAAAACGCGAATTAACGCCAGCAAACTTGGACGATATTTCACCGGGGTTTCTGTGTCTTAAAAGAGACGAATTTCCGCAAAACTAATACCGGTTCAGACGCTTCTTCTGTCGGCCTTATCCGGAATTTCTGGCTCGGGGGCAAAAAGCGAACAGCAAAATTATCGCCGTCCTGGCACAACTTTCCTGCCAACCGCGCTCTGCTAATTTATCATGTTTGTTGGCTTAGGTCTTTGATATGGAGATACGGATTGTTCCAAATGAGTCGTTGGAAAACGATATCGAAAGAATGATTTTGTTGCGAAATTGCACATTAATCGCCCAACTATTTTTATCAATTAAAAT